CTCCATATATTGACTTAACACAAAAATAACTTCCACGGCAAATTTTCTTACTTTGAAAGATAATTGGTTATCTAAAATTGAAGTATTTTTTTTTAAATCTATATTCAATTACTCGCTGCCAAAGCTTCATTGCATGAATCGGGCTAGCCAGGCCGGGTCGTGACATCTATACTTCTCCATATATTGACTTAACACAAAAATAACTTCCACGGCAAATTTTCTTACTTTGAAAGATAATTGGTTATCTAAAATTGAAGTATTTTTTTTTAAATCTATATTCAATTACTCGCTGCCAAAGCTTCATTGCATGACTAATAAGTTTAATTTATCTATAGCTAACATAATTTTAAATAACTTTATTCTTAAATATTTATATCAAACATCTTCTTCTCTAAACATTTGACGCCCTTTTTATCTTACAAAATTTCATTAAAATGATTCGTTGACTTAATATTTATATCAAACATCTTCTCTAAACATTTGGCCTCCTTTTTATCTTACAAAATTCCATTGAAATGATTCGTTGACCAAATCATTGCAATATTTTTCATAAAACCTCAAATCTCAATAGGTATTGAATATGGACCTAGAATTTTACCATTAAGTATGTTTTTTTAGAGTTAACTTCACTTCATTAATTTTTTGTACTATGTCTGTTCGCCCTCACATTGCTCATAAAGAATAGAAGGATCTTCATCCTACTCCACCTCAGCATTTCTCTTTATATTTTCAAAAAGATTTTGTTCAACTCATGAGAATCTGCCCTCCACTTTACATGGTAAATTTGCTCTCATTTTTTTCCAATGATGAGATCTCTAAGTTCCCATCTCGTTTCTCTTTCACTACTACAGGCAAGTCTTCCTGGGGTCATTCCAGTGCTGAGATTGTTCATAGATTCATGCCTAATTTGAGATTGATTGGAGAATTTTTCATTGGATTTCTTAATTCTTATAATTTTCTTATCAAATTATCCCTTGAGGTTGATTATTGAAGATTTTTCTTTAAGTATACCATACTACATAGATGGTTTTTTGATGCAGATGCTTGAGTGGCTTCCTCGCTTTAATTGTTTTAAAGAAGCACGTATTACTCTAGCTTGGGTGGCTTTTCCTCGACTTCAAATTCACTAATTCAACTAATCCACTATGTTCTCCCTAGTTTCAACTCCAAGTGAATACTATGATTGTTAACCTGATGGGGACATCAGAGCGTGGAAAGTCTATCAGAGACGTGGTCGTCGATCTACAGCCACGATTGAGTCGGTGTATTTCTAAGTTGAATTATTTATTTTCTTTATTATTATGTCATGTTGTATTTGCTTTATTAGTGTTTCCGTTTTTACCCCTTACTTAAGGGAGGTCGTTTGTAAGCCCATTGAGTGTTGTCGTCTTTTTATTTTCTTGAGTCTTTGTACGAGACTATATATAACCTCATTGTTCCCTTTTCATGTTAATGATTGAATGATTAAAAAAAATGTCCACATGTTTTGAGTTCTTATGAGAACTTGAGAGAGGTCAGAGTGAGATCCCTATGAGAGGGAGAATTGTGCATCACCCACCAACCTAGAAGAGTCGGGTTCGGGACCTTAATTTCTATCTCTTTCTCTTCCTCCTCCCACCACCACCGCCGGCCCTATCTCCCCCTCCCCACCCACGGTCCAAGCTCCGCTCGAAACCTAGAACCACCGGCCCTCCACCCTCATCGAACCCCTCCTTCCCCCTCACCCACCGAAATCCCACACAAATCCCCACCACCCGCCAACCCTATTCCCCTTGCTCTCCCTCCATAATTCAAATCCCCACCTTGAGCACCTTCCATAAATGATCCCCCTTAATTTGGGAAGGCTTAATTTCAAATTTCAATTTAATTTGAATTTGAATTTTTTTTTTCAAACTTAGGAAATCTATTTTAGGAAAGTTTAAATTAAACCTATTTGAATTTCAAATTCAAATTGGATTTAATTAAAACCTTTCCTAATTCATAAACCCAAATTAAGAAACCTTAATTCTCTTCCATTAAGCCCAATTAACTCCCCCATAGCCATCGGCCCATATAGGTTGGATTTGGGAAATTTATTTCATAAATCCCCATCCCTCCTCTTTGGAAATAATTCAACTCTTTCCCCCTCTACCCCCTTTGCCCGGCCCCTTCCCTGGCCCCACCTCAATTTATTTCCAATTGGAGAGGTTCTTCATTGGAAATAAATCAATCCCCTCCCCCTCTCTTCTCTCTTCCTTTAATTATTCTCAATCAAGAGGATAATTAGGAAGTGTTTGAATCATAATTCCCTCCACCTCCTCTCCCAAAAATCTGAAACAAATCTCTTACCCTTGCTCTCATCATTGGCCGGCCACCTCCCTCCCCTTTCCCCTCTTCATTTCTCAAGATTATCTCCTCCCTCTCAAGAGGAGTCTTCAAGGGGAGTATCAACGATCATCTTCAACATCTCAACCTTCAAAGTCTATGCATGGTCGATCCAGATCTTGATTACGGTCTCGCCTACGACGAATAAGGGTTTGTTAGCATCCTTCATAGCACCTTCTTCGATGTCAATCCGAACATCGACAACACCGTCGAAGAGTACGTAGAGCGCATTCTAGACACTCTTGTCGAGGAGTACGTAGAGCGCATTCTGGACACCCTTGTCGAGGCCATAGAAGAACAATTTGGCACCGTTCATTGGAGACTTGCAACCCAACCGTGATAAGGGTTTACCAATATACTTTCTCTCATATTTTCACTGTCTAACTTGTTCTTGTGATATGATTGATTCATGAAGGTCTTGTTCATCTATTTATGCCGAGCCTAGTAATCGTAGGACTTCATTTTGATCTCTATGCTTCTAATCTCACTGTTAGCATAGGGATTTTGTTTGAAAGCTACTTAATTTGCATTTTATTGATATTCTACGTTATTTTGATAAATCAAGCATTTGGCAAGTGTTTTAGCCTAAGCGTAGGCACCCCTTTCTCATTTTATTTTATCGTTTTGAATTGCTAATAGCTTTAATCATACTTGCTCTTATCTAGGAATAGTGAAAATTCTTATTGCATCCATTAAAAACATCTTAGTCCTACATCATAACCTCTCCAAGCCATCATGGTCAATGTGCTTCAATGCTCACATGGAATTATGAAAGTCATATTTTATTGATCCTTAGGATATTGGGGAGAATTTAAATAATTAAAACTCACTTTTGAGAATCATAGTTGTAGTTCTGACAACTTCGACCATTGCATTGTACACAAAACTTTGAACTTTTAAACCCTATCATGAAAACAAAGCCTTCCTTGAATGTCCATAGCCCAATAAAGAGGATCGACACCACAACCGCTTACAATCTCATTGATCTGAATCCATATGATGCATTAGCTCATCTTGATCATCCTATTGTTGGGAATATTATTGATCCAGATTCACAATAAGATGACTCTCAAATTGGTATCTATAGCAGAAACAAAGACATTAACAAAAAAAATTTCTTTTTTTTTTTTTTGCTGAGAGGGGAAAAAATAGAAGGACAATAAAAAAATGATAAAAATATATAGTCCCTAAACTATTTGTGATGGGGCATTTCAGTCCACAACTATTTAAAATATTCAATTTAGTCCATTGAATCCACAAATAATTCAAAATAGTCCCATAATTAAAATCATTCTTTAATTTGACAAAAATCTCAAATAGAATTCACAAATAGTTTGGTACTAATGTATTCTCAAACAATTAAGTTTTTCGTGAATACCCTTATTGCCCACCACATTCTTAAAAGTTACAAGAATTTTTGTCAAACTAAATAGTGATTCTAATTGTGGGACTATTTTGAATCATATTTGTGGAGTAACTAGAGTTAGGGGGCCGAATTGGACACTTAAAGTAGTTTGAAACAAAACTAGCTCACTACAAATAGTCCATAGATCATGTTCTAGAACGAAAATAATATAGTCACTCTCCTAGGTTTACCAAACTTAAAAAAAGATACTTTAAAGAAGGTATCAAGGAGTTCTCCTCTTCCTTCATATGATCTCCTAATTTGTTCTTGTCTTAGATGGTGGTGTTTTTTTTTTTTTTTTCCTTGACTGGTCATGAAATTCTATTTTAAAAAGAATCGTGTGCAGTTCAATGAATAGTTAGGAACTACTCATGTTACCAAAACAAAACTTTGAATATTTTCATCATTATACCTTATAGTTTATTAAAAGGACATACTAAATATAATAAAAGCAAAGGTGATACCTGAAAGCTTTGTTACTTAAGTTGCATTAATCTTTAAAGGAGTTTGGATTTAAATAATCAACATCATTAGCTTTATCTTAAAGGCCATTTTAAAATTCTTTTAACTTCTTCAAATTATATAGGCACAAAACTAGTGGGTCAAATAGCACAAAAAAGGGTAGAAGCTTTGGAGTGCATGATTTGTTAGGTTTGATATATAGAGACATTTGAATTTGAATATAAGGATAAAGGATTCAAGTAATGTGCTAGCAGAGGCAAATTAAGCGTAAAAAACATTTGCACTATTGCATCTAAAATTTATAATTTGAATTCAACTGTTTTCTACAGTGGAATCTACCTATCAAAGTTATAACAAAAGGAACATCTGAAAAAGTTACGTTAAAGGTTCATCTTTCCACCATTAATTCTTGATCCCTTTTTTTTTTGTTTGTGCGCCCATCAACCTACGTGCACGCACTTCTGCTGCGCACCAAGATTGAGGTGAAGAATGCCCATCAAAAGAAAATTTGGAATTTGAAATACAGACTAAGTTGACTGGTAATTGTCACAATTGTCCACCACGATCATATAGTGTCAAACAGAATACGCCATTCCACTTTGAAAGCTAAAAAGGGCAAACCTTTCCGATGAATATTCAGGTGCACATATGTAATGCTCAATTAAAAACTTAAAAGTGGCATAGAGGAGGGAGTGGTCTCCACTCCATATCAATTGAAGAGATAAATAACGCCAAAACAGAATTTGCAGAAGAGTTAAGGCATCGTTACCTAACAAAGCTTTGCCTAGTTCATTCAGTCCAGGAATCATCCTCAAAAGAAACGTGTTCTGAGAAAAGAATCAACACAAGCCTGATAAATAATGTAACTTTCCTACAGTTCTGAGAATTAGTGGGAAGAAGAGAAAGTATTGGGTGTCGAGAATATAAAAGAAAAGAAAGGATACATAAACTTTTTATTTTGATTGGGAGTTCTATACAAGAAATTAAGAAATTACGGAAAATGCTATATTAGAAGAGCACAAGATTGCAAGTTTTAATAATTAAATGTGTCGCAAAATTATAATTTAGTTATAATTAAATGATGTATAAAGGCACGGAATTGCAAGTTTTAATAGATTCCATATGGTGAACATTATGCCACCAATTAATTACATGCTCTTTACATTAAGCAAAAAATAAATCAATGAAGCAATAAATCATGTATAAATGCAAGAATAATTCAAATAATACGGCAATAATAGTTTAATTGCACTCCAATGTATTTTTGAAAAGTTGTAATATATTACTGAAATACAGAGAAATATATGTATAATAATTGCACATATTAAAAAAAATTATATCTTTAAAAGTTTATAGGAAAATCCATAGACCCGAAAAAAGAGCTAAACCTAATTAAGTTTAAGCTCAATCCATTTTAGTTTTCGAGCCTAAAAATTTAGCTTGGGCTCGGCCTGCATCTTGATTTAATTTGACATTTTGTGGGCCAAGCTAATCGAGCTTAAGCCAGCCCGACCCAATTAAAGGCCTAAGGGTCAATTTGACCCGACCCAAATTTATACCTTTGTCCTAATGAAAAAGAGAGAAATATTAATCGGGTCATCATTTTAGTATAAGAGATGACCTCGATTCTAGTCAATCAAAACAATAATAATATGTTTTCACTAATATCCTCGATCAAACAAGCGTAAAATAAAAAATAAAAAAATTAATTCCTTTATATTTTCATTATAATTTTCATTTCATTTTCTTTCTTGTATGTAATTCATTCGGACCAAACATAACTAAAGAAAAAATAAAACTATTCGTTGTATTCTTGATAGGAGTTTGAATAAAAAAATAATATAAATTATAGAATTAATCTGATATATGATTTTGCAATCAATAGCATCAAAATGATACAGTTAATTAATTTATAATTAAATTAAGATAAAATACTAATTAATTAATACATAAAAACTAGCTAATATATTAATAAACTATTTGTACCCGACTAATCTATCAAACATAAATCAGTCCATAAGACAAAATATGAATAGGCTAGGAGTGAGATAAGAGTAAACTTTTATTAAGTACAACAACAACAACAATATCATCAAGCCTTTATCCCACCACGTGGGGTCGGCTACATGAATCTTTTTTCTCCATTGTGTCCTATAAAAAGTCAAATTCTCAATCAAGTAATTGTGATCAAATTTTGAAAAGAATTGCATTTAAAACTATTGCTTTGCCTTTATATAATTGCAATATATTAAAAATCAATTAAATTTTATATTGCAACTTTTCAAAATAAACTCAGCAATTTTAAGGCCCGTTCTCACCAAAATATAGATAGAAATATATGAGCCACTTTTTTCTCAAAGATGGAGTGAGCACTTCAAAAATTTATTAATATGATTCCCTTTCACTTCGTTTCTGCTCATTTTTGGGAAACAAAAATGTAGGGGTGTCAAAAAATGATCCGACCCGCTAAACCAAACCCGACCGAAAAAATATGGGTTTGGGTTGACCCTTTTAATAAACAGGTTGAGTTTGGACTTGATTTTTTCGACTTATTTATTAAACCAGGCGGGTTCAGTTGACCCACGAACTCGTTTTTAACTCAAAATGATTCATTTAATATTTTTTCCTTAAATTTTTTTTACTAGTACGTATAATCTTCTTATTTTTTATCAAATATGTTAAATTTTCTAGTTAATAAGTTATAAAAAAAAAAACCAAAATAGGTAAACTAGTCAAGTTTGGGTCATTTAAGTTGCTTGAGGGTCGGATCAGGTTGGTGTTTTTGACCCATTTATTAAACAGGTTGAATGGATTCGGGTCGGCTTAAGTTCAGGTCAAACTCAAATCTGATCCGTTGACCCATTTTGACACCACTAAGAAAAAAATACTAAATGTTGGCCCGTTCTCACGAAAATATAGATAGAAATATCTGAGCCACTTTTTTCTCAAAGATGGAAGGAGCACTTCAAAAGTTTATTAATATGATTCCCTTTCACTTCGTTTCTGATCATTTTTGGGAAACAAAAATGTAGGGGTGTCAAAAAATGACCCGACCCGCAAACCCAAACCCGACAGAAAAAATCTAGGTTTGGGTTGACCATTTTAATAAACAGGTCGAGTTTGGACTTGATTTTTCTGACTTATTTATTAAACAGGACCGATTCAGTTGACCCGCGAACTCGTTTTTACTCAAAATGATTCATTTAATATTTTTTCCTTAAATTTTTTTACTAGTATGTATAATTTTCTTATTTTTTTATCAAATATGTTAAATTTTCTAGTTAATAAGTTATAAAAAAAAAAACCAAAATAGGTAAACTAGTCAAGTTTGGGTCATTCAGGTTGCTTGAGGGTTGGATTCAGGTTGGTGTTTTTAAACCATTTATTAAACAGGTTGAATGGATTCGGGTCGAGTCAAGTTCAGGTCAAACTCAAATCTGATCCGTTGACCCATTTTGACACCACTAAGAAAAAAATACTAATTGTTGTTGTTGTTGCCGTTGTTGTTGTTGTAAGAAAAAACACTCCTTATTGAAGAAACACTTACCTTTTCTTTCCTTCTTTTATCCTAATTAGAAACTCCCAATCAAAAAAGAAAAAGTTTTCATTTTTTTTTCTATTTCCCTAATTTTATCTTCTAATTTTAACTCTGAAACTGATGAAAAAATATTTACCCAAGTAATTTCAAAATACATGAATGTAGGATTTACATAAATAGCACTCAAAATTTCATCATTTATACATTTAACACAAACTTCACTATTTATTCATATACCACTCAAAACTTTAAATAACAAAAAAATACTACTTACCCCTCAAAAAGTTCACACGACTTTCAGATCCCATGTCAAATTCTTTGTTTTTGCATGTCATCAATCTTGTCACCACCTTCGCAAATTGTCAGTCCTATCACCAGCTTCGCACACCACCGGCCTCATTGATGCCATTCCAATGAAATCTCAATGCTCTGTCATCGGAAGAGGTGGAAACTCCATCCCTACAGAGAAAGAAGATTATGATAGTCCAAGCCCCTTCACAGCGGAATCCTGTCATGACCTTCATCTTCTCTTGGTCCAAAGTTTGTCTTTTATGGAGCTAAGGAAGATTATTTATTATGTACATAGTGAAGTTTATATGAATGGGGGTGTTTACACGCATAACAATCAAAACTTCATTATTTAGATATTTAACACCTAAACTTCAATGATATTTATATACACTTAAAACTTTAAAATATCACTTGCCCTGCAAAAATTCGTAACTCTTCTAGACCCTGTCGTAACTTCTTCGTTTTTACACGTCCGTACCGTCACCAGCTTTACACAAAGATCAATCCCATCAATGCCCTTCCCAATGAAATATTGATGCTTTGTTCATGGGAGATGATGGAAAATGCGACAGCAGGGAAGGAGGGGTATTGCAGTTGGAGACCAGACCCAACGAGATCTTGTTGCGAGCTTCAATTTGTTTTTAATGGAGCTAAGGAGGGTGATTTATCATGTAAATAGTGAAGTCAATGGAACTGTTTGGAAGCAAATTTATCCTGGATTTAGGCACAAATACTACCAAACGATGTTGATGTCAACGTTAAATCCTACAGTGGCTTATTAATAATCAAGTGGATAGATTAGATATGACTATATTAATTAAAAAAATAAATTAATATTTATATTAATATTAATTAATCAGATATTAAACGTTAAATCCTATGGTGGCTTATTAATAATCAAGTGAATAGATTAGATATGAATATATTAATTAAAAATTAAATTAATCTTTATATTAATATTAATTAATCAAATATTAACTAAAAATGATATTATTTGCAGTTTAATGGCGAAAAAAATATATTGTATCAAATTAGGTGAATAATTTACTAATTAATCATTAATTTCAATTTTTGAATACTATTTAAACTAATTATGATCGTACGCAATGAGATTATATACTTTAATTTTATTATCAATAGCTAATATTAAAATTATATTAGAACTAATAAATTCAAATCCTGAACTAAGTAGCCAAACAGTTCATTGGATTTAATCGAATTTAGTCTTTTTCATGCCAAATAAATTTCAAAATTTAACTACCACAAGATTCACTAATTCCATATATCCAAGATTTACTAAATCCTAATTGAGTTAAATCATACTTATAAACAAATAACTAATATGTGTTAAATATGTAAACGACAAAATATTGAGTGTTGCATATCAAATCCCCTGCATAAATTCAATGTCTTCACGAAAGGAGTGAAAGCCGCAAATTCAAGTAGATTGCCAAACAAATATATCATGTGTATACTCATGCATGATTTTTCAGGTACTTAATAGGTATTCAACATGTCATAGTAGGAGAACTCAAACCCCATGGACCTTTGTAGTTAAGACTCACCCAAGCAGAATCATCCTCAACTAAGCAAAGCAAAAGGATAGGAGTTGCTCAAGAAACTCCAAGGGTTCTCACGGACCACTCAAATTAGCAGGACTCACCCCTCCGGTGAGAAGCGCACTCCAAAAGCAACTCGTCGCACAACTCGGGTCGTGGGCCATCAATGAAACTCATTAGCCTAACTGCGAGGAAAGATACTCCCAAGGAGATTCAAGCTTGCCTATTTGCACTTGACCGACAATAGAGTCTACTATCCTTGCGATCCAAATAAACTCACCCCTCACATTAAGAAAGCTCAAGGAACCCTTCCAAGAGGTCATCAATGTCACCAAACTAATGACTCGTCAAGAACAATCCTTCCTACTTGGTCCATCAGAGGACTTGCCTTCTTCTACTCTCCCATGAATTCTTGGAATAAGGGAACTCACCCTGAGACCAAGGGCTTAGATCAAAAGGCAATAGCTATCCCCACTCCCCAACACTTATCAGAGCATGACGTGTGTCCATGACAATCTATATGAGGTCTCATTCATTATTATACTTCTTATCTTTTTTATGTAGCCTTCATTGTAGCCCTTGGATTCCTATAAATAAAGTGTGAAGATGCATATTTTGAATCTTTTGGCACTTTCTAAAGATACAATTGTGCTAGTAAAATACATGTCCCCAAATCTTCTTCTTCTTTCCATACTCACTCATAGATTCTCAGGTTCCAACCTCTTAAGCATATATGTTAGTAAGGTCAGGTATCATTTGAACAAGTTTGTATCCAGCACGTCTTAAATAAATTCAAAATATTAATTTGTAATCAAACAGCTAATATGTGTTAAATCCTACTTGTAACCAAACAACTAATATATCTTAAATATGTAGATGATTAAATTTTGAGTGCTACGTATCTAAATCCCCTTCACAAATTCAATGTCTTCACGGAAGGAGTGAAAGCCGCAAACTCAAGTAAATTTCCCAACAAATTTATTACGTCAGATCAAGCTGTGAAAATCTAAGGGCTGTATCAAGATACCTGCTTGTCTAGTGGATGCCGAAAATCATCAGCCTCAAGATTTTGGAAGACGACGGGAGCCGCCCGGCAAATTGGAACCCTAGCTCCGCCTTGCCTCCCCTCTTTCGTCGACCCATCTCTCGTGGAAAGAGACCGAAACCGGACTCCTGTGCTCCGTACCCTATCCGTTAAAAGAGACGAGGGGTTGACCCATACGAAATATGAGAGAGGGAGAAAAGACGAAGCCATTAGCTAACGAGCGGGACTCTGCGGGAGAGGGAAGGGGAGAGAGAGAATCAGAAACGCGGTCTTACAACGGCCGTCTTCCTTATGTACACGGAACCGGTAAACTTTAGGCCACGAGGGCGACTTAACGGTAACATGTCTCGCGGCATGAAAGTCTGGAGGAAGATATAAAATATTAGGCTTTTAGGGGTGTAAAATCGGCTGAATTTTTTTCTTTATTCGAGTTTATTTTTTAAGCTAAAATTTTATTTATTTATATAAAATAAATATTTTTATTTATATATATAATATTTATATTATTATAATTATTAGATGATCCTCTTATTTATAAATAACATTAAAATGTTTGTATCATGCATAACTTTCTTTGATTTATACGTTGTGGTATTATAAAAATAAAAATATATATTTATTTATTAGATATATTAGATATATAAATATATGAAAAATTATATGATATATAAATAAATGTCTCTGAATTTTCTTATGGATTTTGAGCCTTTAAAATTAAAAATTTAACTTAAATTTATTCATCAATTTTAATATTAAATATATTTTTCTTATCAATGACAATGAGCAACTGGCAACGAGCAACTAATAGTGGTTGGATGTTGATAATAGCGGAGGTGACAATAACAAAGAATTTATAATGTATTTGAAAATTGATCAATTTTAATGATTTTCATATACACAAAAATTAAAACTAGATAGTGGATTTCAAATATTTAAAAAATATATTTTATATTTTTTTTTCATTTCAAACAAAATATCAATATTTTCAAAACCTTGCATTTAAAATGTTTTATACTTCTTTTGTCCAATAAAAAATAAAAAATATCTAAATGTTATTTTTAAGCATATTTAAGAATAATTTAATTCTTTAGTAATAAATAAAAAGGCCAAAAGATATCAAAATTTTATTTTTTTAACTATAAAATAAAAACAAAACAAAAAAATTGCAAAAATAACTCCTAGTAAAAATATTTTTTAGTAATATATAGTATATATTTTGCAAATCATCCCAGGGGCATTTGAGCCAGATTTGTACGTAGCTTATATAGATTTATTAGTTGAAAACTTTGACTATCAATCAAAAAATTTTAGGTTCAAAACTTATATATATCAGTTTAAGATCTTGCGGCTCTTCTCTTTCTCATCTCGCTATAATTTCTTTTTCTTTGACTAAATATGGCCTCAATAAAAAAAAATCTCATCTTGCATAGATGATGCTATTTAGTTCAAAAATGTTATAAGGGGCTGCTTGGCTGGCTGACTTTAAAAAATATATAATATTTGAAAATATTATATATATTTTTATTATTATAAATCAAATATATAGATTTTTTATTAAGATGTTTTTCAAATGTATTAAAATATTTTCTTTCCTATCCGTTGGAAGGGCTTGTAGAAGAACTCCAAGAATTATTAGAATTTGAAAATATGGTGTATTTTAAATGCATGAAAAATATAATTTTTGAAATATTTCTAATACTCATAATTTATTTTGAGTTTTTTTGACTAAATAGGAAAAAATATAATATAAATAAATAAAATACAGTTTATGCCTAATCTTCCTATCAAAGTAATAGGTCGTGGCCACTTAGTTTTTAATTTAATTGATTTTTTTGGCATTTTTTAGTCAATTTAGATAAATTCATAAATACTAAAATGCATCACATATAAAAACTTCAAACTTAATATCTCTTAGTTGGTAAATAAAGCTCTCTAACCAACAGATCAAAATGAGCTGCTCCAAAATTAATTGAATAATTTGAATAGTTAGAGACTAATATTGTCAAAATGACTAATCTCAAACCAATGCAATCAACTTTATGAATGCATTTTTTTTATTAATTTTCAAGTGTATTTAAGTGAAATGTTGGCGATTTTTTCAAACTTCCCTCTAAATAAGAAGACGAGGATATTTCAAAATTCTAAATTATTTTTTTCTTATTTAAAAATATATTCTCGTAAACTACTCTTGCACCACAAACTTCAAATTTCCTTCTCTCTCTCGTCTTATCTCTTTCTTTTAACTCTGTCCACATCACCAATTTCTTTCCCACCTCCTCATTCCCTCATAACAGCTTAACCTCTCTCTCTCTCTATTACATTCCAAAGCCGATTAGATTTTATCCCTTTCATCTCTCTCTCTCTCTCTCTCTCTCTCTCTCTCTCTCTCTATCGATCTATCTATCTATCTATATTTTTCTATCTCTCGATATCTCTATCTCAACAAGCAACCATAATTTTTGCAAGAGGACATAAGAGTTGGACAAAGGCTAGGAGGATTTACATTTTGTTATTGTTATTTAGTTGAAATTAATATTCATAAGAACGGGTAGTGAGTACTAATCTCATTGAGTAATATGGAATGCTAAGCATTTTTTTTTTATTCATTTGAATATTAATTAAATTATTTTGTCATGCTATTGATGCAACTATTATTTTTATTCATGCTTATATTGAATAAAATGATGAGCATGTATTTTATGTTTAGTGATAGCCTGATAGGCTTGAAGTGCAAATGATGAGACGACATCTATATTACATGATTTGCCACTTATTATTATATTTTTTATGTATTAATTTTATGGTATATTTTATACAATTCATTGAGTTTAATCCCCATCTTGCATGTGATATTTTTTATGACATTGTGATATAAATATTTTCTTTAGTGGTCATGATAATATATATATACTTATGATGTAAAATAGAGAATAATAATCGTGATCATTATGCAAGAAATTTTTTTATTGTAAATAGTACAATCATTGTAAATGATTTTTTTTTTTGTAATTGTTCAGTGTTTATATTCTATAATGCTTTAATGGCTTCATGCGATCAAAAGTGAATTTGTATTTTGCTATCCAAATTGATCATGAATTTAGAGGGCAAAATATTTTGGAAAATCACTAAATGTGCTGCATTCGATCATTAATTACAGGAAATTCAGGTAATACAGGCAGTCATTACCGGCGGTCCTATAGCTGTCGATAATACCGACGGTTTTTAATAAACCGCCGTCGAAATTAGCGGGGTATAATAACCGGCGGTTAGGGTGCCAGTTTTATCTTATGCTGGCAGTCAAACGGCGGTAACCCAACAGTTTAGCTGTCGGTAAAAACTACGGTTTTGACGGCCGGTAAGCCACCGGTGATTAATCGGAGGTCGCCAGTGGTAAACTGGCGGTAACATCGGTGGTTTTGACGGCCTGTAAGCCGCCGGGTATTAACCGGCGGTCACCGGCGCTACAACTGTCATAAATTACTGGCCGTTTATGCCGCCTATAAGTATAACCGCCGGAAATCGTTTCCTACGCGGTTTATTCCGATAGTTTTTGAACCGCCGGTATTTTACGAAAACGCCGGAAATCTAACATTAACTGCCGGAAAAAACCGCCGGTAATAGCTGAATTTCTTGTATTGAATGATTATTTTGTAAAACCATATACATCTATATCAACTTGGTCAAGTCATCATGCATGAAAGCTTAAACCCAATCCAACAAGTCATTAATCATGAATCAATATAGTACTCGACTACTATAATTTCGCCATAAGATTTTTGAAGGTGATTACTGGTCAAGTTAATTATCTACATGTAAATCTTGGTACCCATATAGAGTACTATCTTATCGACTTAGGGTAGGGTTCTCATCATAAAAACACATCCAATGTTCTTGTCATCAACCTGAAAATTGCTCAAAGTTCCATTTTGGTGGAAAACTATCAATTAGACTCATTCGCTTCACAAATAACTACATTGAGTCTACTTAAGCAAATTGCTTATATTTTTATCTTATGACACTTCTTATACTGATGATATTAGATCTTTACTATAAATAGGGGATCAAATGTTGGTTTTAGGATGGATTGTCTCTTAAAAAATCAGTTTTTTCATCTGTCTTATGTATGTTTTATACTTGTTTGTAATGTGAAGAAATATGACTCTAATATTTATTGTAATGACCGCTTTTGTAGTAATAGAACTATCTGTAATAACCTAATTTTAATGTGGTAAGAGTTTGCACGTTTAATTAGCATTTGCAAAATAAAAATTATGCATTTCTAAAAAATTTACCTTTAGGATGTTTTGGCACTGTGTTGTTGGCATTGCGGCTATGTTCTCTCTATTTATAGGTGTTGCAGTGCTGGATACTGAGTGGCGCAGTGTTGTGTGCAATAATGCAGAGTTACGGCACTGGTTAAGGTGATGCAAAGTTAAACTATTTCTTTGAGTACTTGAAATCTTCTCTTGACAGCACTGTGACTGTATTATGGTAGTGTTGTTGTGTTAGTCTATAAATATCAAAATCCATAATCTAAAATTCGTATTTCTTTTTCAGAGCAAACAGTTAGAGAAAGAGGAAGATAATTTAGAGAGAAAAAATAGGATTTGGAGGTCGTTGAGCTAATTTTACTCAACGGGTCAGTAGAAAAAAAATTTGTCTAAAGATAGATAATCATTACCCTATTTCAGATTTCAATTTTGTGAAGAGGGACGTGGCGCCAGACCTGAATATTATAAAAATATAAATTTTCAATTATTTCTTTTTTTATCAAATTTCATTCTCCTCATTCCTTAGGTAGTTGGCTTAAGAAGAAAAAATTATAGAGAGAGAAAGCTCACTTTGGGTGACTTCAATTCGATATTGTTGGCCCAGTTTTAAATGTTGTCTTGATCGAGATAGGTTATATTTTTCCGATTTAACTTTTTTAAAATATAGAAAAATTAGGATTTTTTAGATTCACTTATAATTTTAAAGTGTAAAAATTAGAATAACTTTACACTCGCTAAACTTTAGTCATATAACTTTCTATATATTATAAAGACATTTATTCTAGACATTTAAATATTTTACTAAAAATTTCCTGCTAGGTAAAATGCGCTATTTTATTAAGTTCGAAAATAGTTATGATCATATAAAATAATGTTGAAGTACAATTAAAGCTTCATAATAATATTATAAACAATCTCTGATAATTTAGTAAAACTCTGAAACTGTGAAATAATG